GTATAAAAGTAGAGAATGCTCTCTAGAGAGAGGCACTAGAAGAATAAAGGACAAGAGTGAGGGGAAGAATCAACAAAGCGAATGCGAGAAGCTGGCTTAGGCCTCCATTGAAGAGTGACATTGCCCTGCCACCCTGTACAAATAGCGCTCCTATACGTAATACGTAATACGTAATACCAACTCTACGGGTTTTACACGACATGTAGTCATAGCATATTGACAGTCGTGCATATGCAGCGCATATAGAGTAATACTCATAGGCGTCGGTGTGCTCCAAAGTTCATGAAGCCAATATTCGTACGACTGTTAAGATTGTTTGAGCAAACATTAAATCAAGATGAAAATAGAGCACAAAATTACTATACTACTTCAATGATTGGACGTAGCAAGAAAATAAAATATCTAGTGGCAGTAACCAAGATAATCGTGAATAGACTCCTTTTGGAGTTATCCTGAAATTGAAATGAAATCCTGTCCCATTCAAGGAACAATGACGTCTCAATCTTCTTGCTGCACTTATCCAAAGACCAAAGAAAAGGTGAACGAAGCTTCGACAATCATTGACTTCCTCTGTCACAGTTTTCTATGCTATCGAATGTTAAAATTCTGCAACCACTGCTCTTATCATACTTGGTGATGCGATATGCTGCTTTTCGTTTGCACAATGTGTCACCGAAAGGGATATATGCGGGCACAGATATTTCAATTATTTGAAATTCCTGAAGACAGTAATACCCTCCCACAATAATCTTTACAAATTTGAATATATTATTTTTGTTTGGTTCCTGTCAACCGAAAAAGTTCACGACCTCGCCTTGCGACGTAATGTGAAATTGCACCAGGTCATCTTTGAATGAATAATAAATATTTACCTATTCACAAACTCAAGCGGAACTCAAGGCAGAATGATGGGAATTGCAACGATGACTATATACGCAGAGTCATCGTTGTAAATTTTCCCATAGCCTCGAACCGAGCCAAGCATCGTGGGAGAAAAGAGAGCAAAGAAATATTACAGGCAGGGATGGAAAGAATGCGAGGAGAGTAAAGAAAGAAAGGGATCTCATAACGTGAGGAGAATTGGGAATTGAGGAAGCCACTAGGCTCTGTACTTCCTGGCAACAAAACGAATTCATCCTTGATATCAGAAGCGTAATGCTGGTCATCTTCTTATACTTTCGTCCCGAACATTTTCGGAAATGGATGTGTTTCAAGCAACTGTTGAGATTGAACGACAATGTCCCAAGAGAATAGGCTCATACAATTCGTACAGATAGCGGTAATACAAATCGTCATAAAATATCCCGTCACCCATTTATATGGCAGTATAAATCCCTGAATCGTTAGCCTCATATTCATTTCAAAGATATTCATTTAATATTCAGTTCTCACCACCACCACCCCTACGAATTGCTTCACAACAACCTAACAAACTGGCATAATCAGTGACATATTGTAGATACGCAATGTTAAGAATGAAAATATGAAGGACGAGTAAAGTCTTTGCCGAGAGAATGAATTCGAATGAGCCTGGAAGGAAGACGAAGGACAGCAAAGGAAGGATAAAGCAAGGTGAAGGTATAGCTTCCCGTAGGTGGGAATGGGAGCTGTTTTTCGAGGGATGGGAATGAGGTGGTGCGCAACTGATCGATGCAACAGCGCCGCGCGAAGGAGGGTGGCTCGTTCGTATCACGTACTATATATATACCGGCTATACCGGCTATACTAGCTACTACCCCTGGTGTGTACGTCGGTCCTGCTGGCGTTTGGGTGGGCTGGTACGCTGGTACGAAGCACAGCCAGTGCCAAAAGCAACCCTTTACCCCACCGGCACCACCACCACCATCAGCATTTCTCTCTGGCTCCAATAGAGGGTGGCTCTATCTGGTTTCATGGCTCAGTCCTCGGCCGGAGTGCGTCGTCGGTCGTTGCCGTCGCGAGTTCACCTCCCTGGCCGGGATGACGTCGTATCGTGCCACGAGGACACGACACTCGTGTCCAGGAGGTGCGACATTGCTAATCGTCCTGCTGCCTTCTACGAGCACGACGCTGTCACCTTACTTGACACAGCTGTCAATTGTTCTTGGAAAATAACGACCATGTGCGCACACTCAACGGATTATATCTACGCGTGTCCGTTAATTCTCCAGGATTTTGGTCACCAGGTTTTGGCCTTTATTAATATTGTTTGATACGTCATTCGAGTGACGGAAATTTCGGGGAATCCGATAGAATCGTTTTGCCAGTCTGTTTTGATATTATTTGACGTTTTTATTTCTCGGGAGGATTTTTATAGTCGAATGACGTTCGAGAGTCCTGATTAAAGCGCAGATGAATCCTCAGAGTTTTAAATGCTTCGGAATGGAATGGAAATGCTTCGTTGAAAGGTTAATCCGATTAATTCACGAAAGCGGATGATGATGACATTCAAGGCTAATTTGCAAAGCGATCAAGCACGGACGAGCGACCACGCCATTATTCGATTGTTTGGTGCTATACGCAATAAATTACTTTTCTCTCTGTTTTTGCCGTTTGGCTGCATTGGTTTTCCCGATTTCGGTGTATCAGTTACTATCTTGTCCCGTTGTCGAAAAATACACTGAAATTAAATGATACATCATACGAATTATTTTTCTCCGAACTTGCGTCAAAAACTTTCATGATATCCTGCTGCATTGTGATAATATAAATCCGTGAAATTCTTTGAAACAATATCACGTGTCTTAACGTTATTTCACTTTTACTTCTCGTTCCAATTGGATTTGCCATATAGTCGCTCAGCTTGTCCTTGGGAATGTTATTCTGTTCCTACCGTTTCTCCATCAAGTCCCCAGGGCTATCCCTGAGGTATCTCGCGAGAGAAGAAGCTGACTGGAGTGTTTTGGGATATCAGGATGAAAACTGGAAAAACGTGACTCTCATAGAAAGAGGAGGAAGAAGCGGAAGAAAACTAGGATAGAAATGATTCTCCTGTCGATCCGGTTATAAAAAAACGGAATAAAGGAGAAAGTGAGAAGGAAAAAAAAAAGGAAAAGAGGAAGAGGATATTAGCGTGGTGATTCGGTGGTTTGTTGTTGGTGGTGTCAGTGGCCGCAAGGGCTGGCCATGGGGGATGAAGTATGTTCTCCGAGCTGTGCAGGGAGACTCTGCGGAAGGCCGCAGTGTGTTACAGTTCTGGTCGCGCAGGAAGTCCTTCTCCTTCGCCACCACCGTCTCCGCCATCATCACCAGCCAAGGAAACAAAGACTTCTGCCAACCCTGAATTGGCAAATGTCCGTGACGTCAGGCCCGAAGTCAACAAGGACTGCACTGGCAAACGGGTCTCGGCCGGGCCGTCGGCAAATGTCCGAGATCTCACAGCACGTGGTAGAGCTGCCCAAACTGAATTTAAGGAGTACGTTCACCTCTCTGCTTAGGCATGATTTAACGAAACCTAGAAATCTTTAGAAGTCTTTTAAACAGTCAGCTCATCGTCGTGCATTTTTTATTTACTATCAATGTTGTGTCATTCGGAACGAATTCTCATGTTATCTATTTTAACAAGTCCATTAAGATTATGATTCGGGTTTTATTTCCTTTACGTGGCACGGGCTATCATTTTTCAATGGATCGACAAACCCGTGAACGTACCTCTGGGTATTGGCAGAAAACGCCCAGCTACACCGACGGATTTCTCCAAGAGATCAGGATACGAATACAGAGAGGGACGTCGATCGCCGTACTGCTCGGCAGGAGAGTACAGGGAGTACAGAGACGGAAGATCACTCTCGCCGGACAACGGGGGTTATCTCGAGGACATCCACGGAGGACACGAAATCGGCAGACAGGATACGCGTCCTGAATGCCAGTCCCCAGGGACATCGCCCGAACCTGATGAATCCTCCCTTTCTGGCGACGAAGGTACGCACTGTGGATTTTTCTCAGAAGGACATTTTCGAAATCACTTTCTTTGCACGATGTACCTTGTCAATGAATTTCCCAATATTCCTGTCGCGTCACTTCAATGAACCAAATGATTTCGACTTCGTTCAACGTGATTTTAAGGGATTTCGATATAATTCAAATGGGGAAAAGTGCCTGAAACTCTTATCTGAAAAGATTATTTTCTATCCTTATACAAAGTATTGATACTGAAGCTCTCGATACTGAAAAACGAAATATTTAGCAATCAACTAAAGAGGCTCCTTATGGAATGTTCACTGCTGTTCACTGCTGATCACACTGTATTTCCTTTTAGCGGTAATCTTTAAGGAAAGGAAAACATACGAGTCGTATCGCAGCTTAATCGTTTCGAGTATAACTAGCGGCTATTGCAGTTATGGCTCAGAGCTTTAATTTACATCCGTAAAAGGGTTATGCGGTCTCGCAATGCGGCATTGCTTCGCTGAGCCTCAGCAAGGAAGTTTACGTCACGTCATAAGCGGAAGTTCGTGCAGTTAGAGTTTACTGGCTGTGCCTTTACTTAATGAGGTCTCAGATCTTTCAGGGTTTTCCCCCTAAAGTTGGCAACATGTATCACAGGGATCCAGTCAGCATAGTTGCGATCGCTGCAACCGCTGCAACCGCTAAGCAATATTTCAATAAGTTTTTAGGAAGCCTTACCCAGCAACCCCCTAATAACTTAGCAATCTAGCAAAGTCGAGCCTTCAATCGAAGTATCTCGATCCGAGTTGCTGACTTTGCTCAGATTCCCTTGATAGAGTCAAGTTGCTTGTCGTTACTTCGCTCAGCCCGAACACTTGAAATGGGAAAATGCCGCGTTGCCCCGAAGGCTTGCCAAGTCGAAACTCACGATACACCTTGTGATATCGAATTACAGAGCCCTCGGGCTGAAGTTTCCTCCTCGATGTACCTCCGTAGATACAGAAGCAGTCGCAAAGCCGACTCGTTCCTTTACTCGTGTAAAATCGTCAAACGAGCACCGATGCAAATAATCTAATCAGCTGACCGTTAATTGTCTTCTGTTAATAAAATATTTTCCTTTTTTTTTTTTTTTTCAGGTAAGTCTGTCACACTCAACCCATTAACTAGAGTCGCTCGAGACGTACAAGGTATTTATACAGCTATTGGAATAATTACCAACGTTTTGCCTGCTATGAACAATGAGTGCATTGCGGAAGTTCATATTGGACCATAAATTGCAGGTACGAGTATTGCCAAAGTATGGTTCAGGTACCACGAACACGGTTTCGGATGACAGCTGGATATGTATAATTGTATACCGTCTTCCCTGGGAAATCCAGGTTCTCTATCGTATAATGTCAGAATCCCATTAATCCAGGGAAATCGCTCGTCCCCTTTTCCTATTACGTAACTATTCGATAAAATGTTTTTCAATGGTTTCCTTCATGAAACGTCGAACGATTAACATTCTATTATACGTTGCTATGGCAGGGACTCGATGCGTTTGTGAAATTCATAGGATTGCGTGAAAATCTTCCTAGTGCAAAATTTATTCACTGCCGGTGCGCGGTACAAACTTTAGAGACTCAAAGGTATGCATTGTCCGTCCCTAAGTACTTTTTTGTTAAGCTTTCACGAGTTAACGTTGACACGCATGAAGCTGGTCCTGAATTGTCTAGCGAGTAAATCCAGGATCAAGTTAAAAGTCGTCTGCGCCCGAGCATTCGCAGTTTCCTCTGCAACTAGCAGACGAAAGTTTCACAGATAGTAGAAGAGGAATCGAAGGGAAACCGAGAGAGGCGGTTGAGGGTAAACTCGACTTTGCGAACTTTACGAATAGGAGAAAACTATTCGTATTCTTTCGCCATTTCACCAAGTGTCGCTGCTGCGTTTCACGCAGTTGACGCTTTAACGATAAATAAACGGTTTATTTCCTAAACAAGTTAAATTCAAAATCAATCAAATGTATAATAGTAAAGCTATGCATGCGAGAGTTATACAGTAAACGGTAAAATTTGCAAATTTATTTTGCCAATGGCAATACAAAGGAAACATATACAAATACGAAATAAGAAAATATCAAGAGTTATAAAAATTCCAAAAATTCGCACATCGCTTTAATTTTTACATAGAATACGAGTAAATTGTTTCACTTTGGTTCACCTTTCCCTTTAGTCTTTGTGCAATTTTCTGCTCGCTTTTTGAGTCAGTCTTTTTAAATTGCGCATTTACACTACGACAAATTTTCAACGGAAATTTTCCACGTGGTATCCAAGGATCATTTCCTTGAACGGAGAAACGATATAATTCGAAGGTGTACATTTTTGGCAATGAGCCTTCGAATCCAATATCTCGCACGTACCAACCTAATACCTATAATGTGGCGCACTTTGTCTATATTGGGACAGCGCTATTGGCTGATACAGGGATTGCGGCCAAGTTATTCCTGCAGCTCTCTTCATCACAGCCCTCCATTCGAATGAGTCTCGCATAGCGAACCATTCATCAAGTTATACAGATGAAATTGATTTTCATAGGATCGTCCAAGCGAGCTAGTTCCTTGCGTGTCTCAATTTCTCAAGCTAATGCTGGATTTAGACACTTAACCACATCGTTCCTAATTCCATTTACACTGTTCTCAAGTTCAGCGAAGCGCCTTACAGCTGCCGCTTTGATACGCTGCTTATCCTGGTAAAATAAATATTATAGAATTCTCGTAAAAGTTCCACATATAACTTTCTGTGAGTTTTGCCGCTTACCGGCCATGAAACCTTTTGACTGGCTACATTTCTATTCAGCATTTCGCACTTCAGGGTATGCCTATTGAAAAGCGAGAACGCATACCAAGCGTAAATCCCTTTACGGATTTCTCTAATATTTTTAATTAAAACTTCTGCGCTGTTACGATGCACTCACGTTATCGAGTCGCGATGTGAAAGCTTCGTAGGAGCGGAGTGGGCACTGGGTGCGTGATAGTATGTATATCAGGGTGATGTTGATGAACCATTAAAATGCATAGAATTCCGAGGAATCTATAGAAAGTGCTAAATGTCCATTAAAGATATATTCCTTTTTTACCACTGGCCGTGTACATTTCCTTTAAGTAACGTCATATATCCATACGCCAATTTTATCCTGGAATTTCATTCACGAATATCATGAGCTTACATAAGCAGGATTTACGCGCAGTGTATCAAATTCTGATAGACACTGATTTACCTAGAAATAAATTCTAATGCAGGAAGCGAATATCGGTTGGCTGATTTTCAAGTCTCGAATTGGAAATTTGCTCTTACCTATATGTATCGCGATGGAACGTCCGGTGCGTCGTATCTTTTTCTTTCGCCCTCTCTCTCTCTCTCTCTCTCTCTCTCTCTCTCTCTCTCTCTCTCTCCCTCGAAAGCTTGCAGAATTATTCGCAACACTCCATTTTCAATTTGGCATGACGACATGCCCTGAGAAGTAATGTGAGATACGAGATGGTCGTTAGCATAAATCGATTCGAAGCGCAGTGTCGCACGGCCTTGAAATCTTTTTGCGGAGAGCTTTGCCTTTTCTTTGCTCCCCCTCTGCTCCTCTTAACTTTCTCTTTCTACCCTTAAACTTTCCACGGTACTTTTTTTACCACCTATTCTTTTTTAGACACCCCCTCCTATAACATCGCAGCATTTGTTCTTGAGGTACGAATTGCAGAGCAGCGCGTCCTTATTTATCGTTGAAACCGCAATTACGTTCGAAACGGGCAAAATTCTGAGTAGTCTGAAAATTTGAACTCTGGGTCTTTGAGCTAGCATCGCCAAGAGTATCCTCGTCCCTTCAGGTATGCATATAGTATATTCCCAGAACCCCTTAGGAACTCCGAAGAAGAATACACTTCGGTGAATCCTGGTCGCATTTGAATTTTCCAACGCGGATCAATCTACCCTTTGTTTGCAACGCCTGGGGGCTCATCTTCAGGGTCTCAGATACCTTTTCCAGCACGTTTCGAAAGTTAATTGAAACTTTTACGAATTTCGACAGAGCACCTCTGGAAGTCATTCGACGGATTTTCTCCTGATGGATACATATACTCAATCATTATAGAATCCTGTCCACAAGCACAAGTGAAATTCCTCTCCCTGATATAGATTTATGGGATTATTCGTCTATCGCTGAGGTATAACCCTGCGGTAAATAACCCCATATAACCCTGACGTCTAATAAAACTATTGAGGTCTTAAATGGGTCCGTCGTTAAATTTTAGCACGGTTAACTTAAACGAAGAAACCTGCCTATTTTATCTTCGGAACTTTTCCTAGCTACCAGTTGTCTATTAAGTTCTCCTAAGATCCTAATTCAGACTCTCGATTTGCTCTTTCAGTGGAAATACTAGGAGAAGTTCTTCATCCCCTCTATAGCGTAATAGTTGTAGGTAAATTGGCAGCCTCAGAATCCTATTCTATCAAGGGATGATTGATTATTCTATAACGAGAATTCAATTGGCTAGAGAATATCCTTAGAATATTTACAATATTCAAGCTGAACCATACGATATTACAGAATCACTTACCCTGAATCTCACAGCTGGTAACTGTAAAAATATCCACAATCATCGTGCAGACTCTTCTGACTTTAAAGTACCTGAAACCTCATCGACTAGAGTCTCTCGTTATAGCTGCAGGGGATGGAGAGGCGATAAAGAGAAAATTTGAGGGAGGATTAAAAGCTAGAAGGTTTAATTATTAGAATGAATACTCACTGAATAACTCTGGGATGAATACTGTTGGCAGTGAAAGACGTCAGGCAAACCGGAATGCCCTTCGCTCCTTCATTCCTCATTCCTTCGTTCGTTCGTTCCTTCGTTCCTTCGTTCCTTGAACAAAACCAGTGAAGAATACCTGGCGCTACATGATTGCTAAGCGCGAGCCAAGCAAGCTTCCTGCTAATTTAACACTCGTCCTGGACTCCTAGCTAGTTGTAAGGCCCAGAATGCCCATTGCCCATGTATTGTAATCGCGAAGCAGTCTCCCCGCTTAACGATTGTCTCCCGAAGGTCTAGACAAAAGATGGAAGGAAAACAAAGAGACGAGTCTCTGAAGAGAAGAGAAATTCATTTTCGAATGAAAGTTCTGTAAGATTATCGAATTTATACAAAATCCCTGTACGATCGATTTGCGCCACGTGATTCTTTGTTACGTAGGCTTACGAGAACACGACGCAAGCGTAACAGCTGCAACAGTTGCGTAGTACACAAGGCAACGGCAAGCCAGGGCTGAACTTCATGCCAACTGATACCGCATAGAAGTACTGGCGGCTTACGAGAAACTTGTAATGAAATTCTATTGCGTCGTAACTCGGCTGACAACGTTGCCTTCGCTAGTCTCTGTTCTTTCTCTCTTTCTCTCTTTCTCTCTCTTGGGTCACCACCTTTCCCCTCCTCTGGAGTCTCTCTCGTATTCTCTCTCGACACTTTACGCCGTGTTTTAGAATGTCGAGATAGCCCCCTATCTTCACTTCAAGTTCCAGCTTGAACTGCAGTTTGCCCACGTTTTGTCCTGTTATAAACAAGAGGTCGTCCTTGCTTATTCGGTGAGAACAAAAAATATATCTAGAGACATGTCTTGCTCGGTGCATCGGGCTCTCTCGATGTATTGGCTCGGTTTCAGTATTGTTGAGATTAACGCAAGACCGTAAGAAAAATTGAATAACGGTGCCGAATCTTCAAATTGGCAGGTGCATCAATATCATACTTATACTATATATATATATATATCAACGTTACGCAAACTGCATCATTCCCAAGAATCGAATTCAGCACCCATTGCCAGGGATCGATGTATCGCATCCAGAATTTTACATTCGCATCGCGACTCTGATTAAAGTGTCAATATTCTATCGAATAGACAAATCAGATATATATTCGTTAATCAATTTGATTGATAACGTAGATACCTATCCATAGAGTATCGTGAATCCTATTCAACCAGAATAGACGAAATAAATTGTTTTTTGAAAATATTTCACGTCAAATACGAAACACAAGACTGATTTTATGACATTATTTATTTGTTAAATAGAAAATTCGTGTAACTTCGTTGTTCTGACATTTGTCATTCTGTGAAACATGGGTACCAAAAAAACAGAGCTCGGTGCATTTCGAATTCATTAATTCCCTTTGGAGAATCATTGTAAAGCTTCATTAGGAAGATCAAATAAAGGAAAGTGGTAGCCGAATGTAACAAATAGGGATTGTTTAGCAATGTTTTATAATGTGCTAGTAATAATTATAGGACGTAGTACTGATGCCGTATGATCCCTCAAATGATGTGTCCCCGTCTCTCCTGTCACGCCTATGGGAATACATGTGTCCAGCGTTAGGTATTAATTAATGCGCAAGTTCTCCAATATATTCCAACACCTCATTATATAACGTGCTCGTCTAGTCGACTCGTGGATCATCTTCCCAGCCTCCTGCCTCTACCTGTACTGGTTTACGATACAATTTTGTAGGACAGCCAGGCTCGAGATTGAGACCTCAGTCGAGTGGAGGGCCTTTATTTTCCTTCGCTAAATTAATTTCTCTCAGCCTTCCACTTTTCGTGCCTTCTCTTTATTACTTCTTGCGCTTTTATCAATTTTTTGATGCGTTAGATACTTGTATATCACATTAATAATTTTGAAATAATTAACGAGTCGCATTAATATCCTAAAATTTAATTTATTGAAATTATAATATATGTCAAGCCTTGTGGGAATTTAGAGTAAATGAAAAAGGGAAACAGATTCTGCGCTTTTACTATGCCTGTTGGTTGTGCTTGTATAAATGCCAATAACCCTGTCTCTCTCACACTCGTGGGAAACATAGCAATTCAAAAAATCTAAAGTCCGCAGCCTCTACGATCTTTTGGATGATCACTGAAACGTCTTTTACCGTATCTATTAGTCAGTACACGAGTTTAATGTGTTTTTTTTTTCACTGAAATCACTAAAATATATGCTAAAGACAATATTTCAGTGCAAACTGTTGCACCAACATATTTTCCAACATAATTTTTATGTAAATATGTGGCTTATCGAAGATTTCATCGTTTTCATCCTGTCAAAAAAAAAAACCACATTGAACTCGCAAACAAACGTAAAAATGTTTGTAAAATCTGAGTTCACTTAGACCTTGTATATGTATGTGCGTATGTATGTATATGTATGTATGTATATGTATGCTGTTCAAATATGTTAAGGCAAGAAAGACCAGTGTTATTAAAGTTCCTATGGCAATCAGCCAACTGCAAGTATGTCCGGCCAATGAGACATTGGAATTCGCTGAGGCATTAAATTGATCAGCATTTCAGGTTGAACCTCGCATTTCATAAATTTTCTTCCAATCACGTACTCATTGTACCAGTACCGTACCCAGCATCAATCCTTCCTTAGTCCAGCTATCCAAAGATCTCGTAGCTTTTCACGATAGAACCGACAGCCATTATTTTACCCATTGGCACAGATCAATGTACAGAATGACACAGCCTTTTCTCGCCTTCCGTATAACCTATAGTCACGAGATACTATAACTTAACTTTACCTCGGCTTTCATATACATACGAAGCTATAGCTCTGTACCAAGCTACGTGCACGCATACATTACGTTTACCTAGATTTTGTTATCGGCAATAGTCGCACGCAAATAAATGAATAAAACCCTTTGGCGGCGAAACTGCTGATCTCATTAATCAGGAAGTGCAGCAACGTGCAAGCAACGTGCTTGCGAGATGGATCGGAAGCTCAGGCCCCAAACCTTTATCCTCCGTACATATAGTATAGCATGCTGGCTATGAGCAGGTCCCTTAACGACGCAACGACGCAACCCTATCCTGACACTGACGAACTTTTTATTCGACACCACATAGACAAGATGAATGATTCTGATAATGGATAGAGGGGAAATCTTCGGCTGGAAAATACCAGGACTAGGATATAGATGTCCTAGTGGAGACTATCTCATCCATGAAAATAACGCTCAGACGAAATTCTGTCGTATAACGACATTTAAAAGTGCATTAATTACCTGGGTTAGGTAGGAAACGACGTATGTCCTAGAGTAAGTATCGAAACAATTTTCTTAGCATTGTGGAGTATAAAAGATGCATAGATACAGATAGAAGAATGGGATTGTTTCTCACAAAGGGCTGAATGATAAATAGTCGGGACTGAACGCCCGCTGCTGGTGTAGGAAATAATGACGTGGAAAGCCTCGTACGAAATCAGGATGGTTGCGTCGAGAGTCCAGGAATCTGTTTTATAGTTGACATTTGGTTGCGATCTTGCTGGTGAAAATCAGTGATAAGGCATTCTTATTTTTAATCAGCAGACCCATTTCCTTTTAAGGATTCAGGTCAGAACAGATTTTGGACTCTCCTCTTTTGTGGATGTATCCGGACAAGTTGAAATTTTTCAACGGTGAGCTGAGACTGTGCAGTTTTTAGATTAAAAGAAATTTGAG